CGAATTTTTTTTTTTTTTTTTTTTTTGAATATTTATTCTCAGTAGAGAAAAACTTTCAAACTACAAGGAACAGCGGGCCTCTTTAGGATTTTTCGTTTCAAGATGGTTCACCCTTTAATAAAAAAATAATCAAAACAAAGACGTAACCGAAGAAATCTTCATACCTTACGTATGTGTAATTATAATCAACGGCTCGTTCCTCTCGCGGGTAATATTTGGTATCGATAGACGGGTAGCGTTCCCGCTCAGCAATTACTGGTGATGACCGAGAAAGCGGAGGAGCCGAGAGAGTCTCGCTAGAACGAGTAATAAGTGTTCGAGTGCGAACCTCCTTCCTATAATACTCTTCCTGGTGATAATCCCCGAATGGTGTTGTTGCTGTACGAAAATCGATGGCCGTTGTTGCGGAGGATGGTACCGACGAGCTGGTACGCTGAACGGGAATTTCTCGAATTGTCGCAGATCGGGGACGAGTTTCTAAAATGTTAACAGTTGAGTACAGGCTGTTAAGGATGTTATGATGTGGTGGTATTTATGCCGTTACACTCATCAAGCGAAGCAGAATTTCCAGCGCGCCTAGCCTCTAAGACACTACAGATGTGAAAACGATACCGACATACCTGTGGAAAATTTCTAACAATTTCCTATAATGAACGACTGCAACTGTCAATAATTGGCCGACGCACGGGTTGCCCGTGCGAAGATGGGTTTTTTGCATAGTTCCCCGCAGATTCTTGTCGACAACAGCACTGGTTTTCTTGGCTGATGCTTCTAGTTTAAAGAATTTCAGACTGGCCGCTAGGACTGTCAGGAAACATCCCTTCAAAATTCCAGTCTTCTAGCTTCTCAGGTTCCCCAGTTAGCAATTTACCTGAAAAAACCTTTCACGAACCCGTACGTAGGTACCACGCTTACCTGGAGGCTGGGCTTGAGTTCATTAATGCTGACTTGGACGGGGAACGTCCCCTTAAAATTTCAGCTTCCTAGCATTTCTAGTTCCCGAGTTAGCAACTCACACGCAAAAAACTTTAGGGGGTCGTATGTAGGTACCACGCGGGCAAGAGCGCCCATTTTGGGGATGGGGCCAGTAAATACATGTAGACTAAGTTCTCAAAATTTCAGCCCCGTAGCTTTTGTAGGTCTCGAGATGAAAAATCGGTACAGACACACACACACACACACAACCCCTCATCAATATGCCTTTTCTGCATTGCACAGCTGCAAAAAACGCATAAAAACTATCAAATAGCAAATGAACGTCCAGGATACCAAACAAAAGGTAAAAGGGCTAATTTCCAGCCACCAGAATCCTCTCTTTACATTAATAAGCAGTGGCAAAGAATAAGAGGAACAGCAATTGCCTTCTCAGAATACGCCAAAACCAGCAGTAAACAGCGGAACATAAGAGGGTAACTTAAGCAAATGAGCACCAAAACTGATCAGCAAAATGGAATGCCGAACAAGAAGATCATGCTTTGTAGGCCAAGAATGCCTTGTGTCATCTTGAAGCACAAAACCTTAATGGAAAACGAAGAAATGGAGATGAAATGAGACGAAGCATGCGAGAAAAAAATTCAAGAAGATCCTACTCTCAAAATTGTGCCGTCTTATTTTATCTTAATTATGTACAAATCTCCTGTCTACAAATCCACGTCACGACTGCATGCAAACGTGTTGTAGAGCTAGTGTATGTTCGTTTATGTTGTAGAGCTGGTGTAAGTCGTCAATATGCCGGCATCAACTCTACTCTTCTCACTGTGTTGCATTTCGCTGTAAAATGAAGTGTTTCGTCGCCAAGGATCACTGTGCCAGGAAAACAAGTGATCGCCTTCCAGTAGCATCAGACGCTTCTCGTTGTCGATCGAATCTCGCCGTATGACTGGCCCGGCCGCGCGCAGAGGAGGATACTGAAGAACGTCGACTGGACGACGACGAAACAGCAAACATGTAGGG